TTTATATATATCATGTTATATATATATATATATATCTATAATGCATATATATATATATCAACCTATATATTTATATATATATATTCATATATATGGATATATGATATATATAAACATATATATTTATACAAGATATATTCAGACAAGATATTTTTATATGATTACATGACTGCTCTTGTATTATATCTACACATACACACACACACACACACATACATATATATGTATCTTTTGGATACAAATACTATAGAAATTTTATATACCGAAACGTTCAAAGCTAAACACTTTCGGGCAATCTCAATATAACATATTTTTTGTGTAATTATAAGAATACGGTAGAAAGTAATGCACTGGGGGATTGTAGCATTTGTGATGGGCTGCCGAAGTATTTGTGTTTCTTCTATTACATGTATTCATGCCGATACTCGTGCGCGAGACTATGACGTTGTTCAACTGTGTATAGCTCGTTGGTAGATTAGTAGATACACTATAACCCAGTTTTGGACATGTCCATATGTGTGTCTCTCATAACAATTGACTGTGTGACACCTTTGAGTACATACATGCGTCCTTTGTTGAATATGTGCGTATGGGTACGCTACAGTGCACTTCACATCATAGCACGTGGTCCACCCTGAGCTGTTTCCTATTGTCTGTGAACTGCCGACACTGTGTTCTGTAGTGCCCAGTCAGTGGCAGCGTACGTGTATGCATCCATCACATATTTTAAGTAGAAAACCCTAGACCCTAAAACCCTATCCCTAAACCCTATAACCTTTCCCAAGTACCTAGCTAATTAACCACTGTGTCATGTCTTCTTCTCCTTCGATAGCACCATTACCGACAAAGCTAGTGTCCATCAAGGAAATGCGGGCAAACATAGCGGCCTTTAGGAGGAAGAACCCAGACGCCGCAGTAGGGTTTGTGCCTACTATGGGAGCGCTACACGCTGGTCATCTGACAATTGGTGAGTACACAATTAATATTTGTGTGACATTCAGCGACACAGAGTTGGGGAACGTGTGGATTATATATATAAATATACACGCATACAGTTTATATATATATAGAATATAGATATATATATATATATATATATATATGAATCTGTTCCTATCATGCAAAAGGGTGATGCACGCGTGTGTATCCTTTTTTCTTTTCTTCATATAGTTATTTTTGTTCATGCGAGGATACGATATACAGATATATACAACTGCAGTGGGGAGACGCGGTGCACATGCACAACTGTTAATGTCATGCTAGAAGGCAATGCACGCGTATATCACTCCTCTTTTATGTCATCCATCAATATATACGGTTAATAGACGCGTGTCTAACAAGTATTACGCTACTATAGACACAGTTGTAATGTGCACATGCACAACTGTTAATATCATGCTAGAAGGCAATACGCGCATATATACGTCCTCTCGATGTCATCTATCAATATATGGTTAATAGACGTGTCTAGCAAGTATTGCGCTACTATAGACACAGTTATAATGTGCACATGCACAACTGTTAATGTCATGCTAGAAGTCAATACGCGCAAATATAAGTCCTCTCCGTGTCATCTATGATTAGATGACTAACAAAGGTGTTTTGAAGAAGTGGTGCGCTACTCAAACAGCTGTATTTCGTCCGATTTCGTATCGTGCGTTGAATATTGAAAGAGCGGTATTTGTCAGTTAGCATTCAATCTCCCGGCTCAGTCACCGTGATATATTATATATACCACGAAGGTGTTCAGCAAGTAACATCGTCTATGGAGAAGTTAGTGCCATGTATAGTACGTATTGTATTTCTTGGACCATGTAGCATACATGGTGAGCGTGTTGATCACCTGCCTATCGAGTGTCCGCCCTACAGTTGCGTGACATCTTACACCTCACCTCTGTCACGGCACGAGTTTTCCAACGTATGCTTCGCCATATCCTGCGCACGCTCCTCCGTATGGTCCTTGATCACTCACACACCCCTTGTTACGTCTACTTGATCACTCACACACACCTCGGTGCGTCTACTTGTCTACTTGATCACTCACACACACACCCCTCGGTGCATCCACATGTCCACAGTAACCCAGGCCAAGATAGAATGCGACTACGTAGTGGCTAGCTTGTTTGTGAACCCAGCTCAGTTCGCAGCTAACGAAGACTATGACATATATCCACGGCCCATTGAGGTATGTAGTGTATCGAAACGTCTAAGGTGAAGGGGAAGGGGAGGGAAAAATGTAAGCGTGCGCGCGGGCGTCGGTTTATGTATATGTATGTGTATGTATATCTGCCTATATATGTGTGTGTGCGGAAAACGCCTGTTCATGTATAGGAATATACCTGTCCATATAGAGATCAATGTACTCTTCTTCATATATATATTAATAATATATATATATATGTAGAAATACCTGTCCGCATGTGCGACGCGTGTGTTCTAATATGAAATGCGCGCGGTAGAATGCATACGCCTATAGCACAGAAGAATGCTTACGCCTATAGCACAGAAGAATGCATACGCCTATGCCAAAGAAGATTGCATACGCCTATGCCAAAGAAGATTGCATACGCCTATGCCAAAGAAGATTGCATACGCCTATGCCAAAGAAGATTGCATACGCCTATAGCACAAGTGATGTGCAAGCACGGGCCTTCTGCCATCGTATTCGCTCTACAAGTTCGACCGAAACATGGCACGAAGATCGCACGTGTTATCTGAATGGATATGTATAGACATCCGAAGGAATGAGACCATGTGTGTCTGTGAAGGTTTTGTGACTACTTCTTCTGCGTCTGTGCAACGTTTGTATATTGCGGCCAATAAAAGGAGTGCTCACATTGCGGTTGGGTTTAGGGTTTAGGGTTCAGCATGCAGGGTTTATGCTATATTAGGGTTTCTACAGTACTATTGGTCGCCCAGTCGTTGATGAGTATTGCTCTGAGCGTAAACTCACAATAGGAACGCATGTACCTACTAATCTGGCGCAGGCAGGGATGAATTCGGTGTTTGTTCCACCCCCCCAACGCACACCCGCCGCAAAAGTTTAATGCCAGATTTACAGCAATTCTTACCACGCTAATTTGAACTGTGTACTATGAATGGCTTTACTATAGGAGGATATGAAGCTACTAGGACAGGAAGGGGTGGATGCCGTGTTTGTCCCCACCACACAAGAGATCTACGGAGATAAGAATGCACTTGAGGAAGGAACAGCCGTCGAGGTACGCGGTCTCAGTCACCAGCTTGAAGGTGAGCCGAGGAGAGCACACATATGTTATTGCAGGGATATAGTTGCCGATACGTTTATAGTTACGCGTGTGTGTACCCATAGACACACATATATATATATATATAACATATGTATATATTTATATACATATATGTATACATATACATACATATATGTATGTATATATATATTATATTATATATACATGCATATATATATATATATATATATATATAATATATAACACACACACACATATATATATATATTAGACCTTGACAGACATCTATATATATATATTTATATAATGTAAAATGTTCGCTGCCTTGTACTAGAGAAGTATACATACGCATTCGAGACACAACGATGCATAGAACCCCATTTTATGGTCAATCGGAAGTGTGTTGTTACTGTTACAATGTCTGATGGATTCTGTTTCGTCTCAGGCGCTATTCGACCGCATTTCTTCAGAGGCGTCGCTACTGTGGTCTCCAAATTGCTAAACATCGTCCAGCCCGACTTCATCTATCTGGGTCAGAAGGATGGTATGTGCTTGTACGCAATAACTGTATCATCGGGACACGTTTCTATTTATATTGAAGATTAACGTTATATTATCTGGATACGTTTATAAGTTATATTGAAGATTTACGTTGTATTATCTGGATACGTTTCTAAGTTATATTGGAGATTAGCGTTGTATTAACTGGATACGCTTCTAAGTTATATTGAAGAATTACGTTGTACTACCTGGATATGTTTCTAAGTTATATTGAAAATTTACGTTGTACTATCTGGATGCGTTTCTAAGTTATGTCGGAGATTAGCGTTGTATTAACTGTATACGTTTCTAAGTTATATTGAAGATTTACGTTGTACTATCTATATACGTTTCTAAGTTAAATTGAAGATTTACGTTGTACTATCTGTATACGTTTCTAAGTTATATTGAAGATTTACGTTGTGCTATCTGTATACGTTTCTAAGTTAAATTGAAGATTTACGTTGTACTATCTGTATACGTTTCTAAGTTATATTGAAGATTGGCGTTGTGCTATCTGTATACGTTTCTAAACTATATTGAAGATTTACGTTGTACTATCTGTATACGATTCTAAGTTATATTGAAGATTTTCGTTGTATTATCTAGATGCGTTCCTAAGTTATATCGAAGATTTTCGGCGTATTATCTGGATACGATTCTAAGTTATATTGAAGATCTATGTAGTACTATCTAGATACCTTTCTTACATGTGTGGAATACATATGGTTGTAACTATAATCCCCATGCACATCCACTCAGGAACTCAAGGGTGCAATCATTCACTACCTCTACGTGTTGGTGTTATCCTTTACAACCTTCGATACCCCGCGGATCAAACCAACACCTACATAGTCACCCCCCCCCACCACACACACACTCACACTCACACTCACACTTTACATTCCACAGCCCAACAAGCCGTGGTGGTGAGGAACATGATCAAGGACATGCACATCCCCTCTGAGCTCAGAGTGATACAAACTGTGCGGGAAAAGGACGGACTAGCCATGAGCAGTCGCAACGCGTACCTGAACGAAGCCCAACGCGCCATTGCCCCACTGCTGTACCAGGCGATGGGTGAGGCACTGCGATTGTACGTGCACGAGAAGGAGAGGAGCACAAAGGTGCTGCTGGACGCTGTCAAGGTGTGTGTGTGTGAGGACAGTATATATATATATGTGTGTGTGTGAGGACAGTATATATATATATGTGTGTGTGAGAGAGAGAGAGCGAGATAGAGTGTGCGTGTGTGAGAGTACGAGGATAAGTGTGTGAGGTAGTTTGTAAGCGTTCGTATCTGTCTGAAGCGTACATATACATCTGTGGCTATAGCGTTGACGGGGGTTGGTTGTCTCTGAGGGACTTGGCACGATTGTATGGTTAGGTAGGACGTTCTATCTACGACTATATAACGCGTGCGTGGTGTGTGATAAAGTTCCTTGTACACCTTTCCCAAACCTTCTACTTACAAACATGGCGTGCCTGTTCTCTCCCGCTTCCCCTCCCTCTCTTCGTTAGGATTACATACGAGAAAACGGAAACGAGCTAACAGAATTACAGTACATCAGCATAAACGACACCGAATCTCTGTACGAAGTCGAGACGATAGGCAAGCAAGGTGCCCTGCTTTCAGGTATGATTTAAAAAATATATAATTGGAGTTGTACTGTGAAACTGGGGAGAACTATCTACTGACATGCCTTCGCCTTAATAGCACTATATATGCAGTGGCTGTGTGTGTGCTTCTGCACTTTGTTCGAGAAACCCGGGAGAGCTATGTACGCATACGTTATGGCCACAGTTTGCCATTAACACATACAGTGGTGTATGTTTATGGCAATGTATGTAGTGGTGAATGTGTATGGCAATACATACAGTGGTGTATGTGTATGGCAATACATACAGTGGTGTATGTGTATGGCAATACATACAGTGGTGTATGTGTATGGCAATACATACGGTGGTGTATGTATGTGTATGGCTTATCGCTTTGTTTGAGCCGTCCCTTCGTGTACTTGGTAAAACCTTCGGCGTCATTGCACTGCCTAGTGTTTGGCACAATACATATTACAAATCGAGTGATGTTGCCCAATGCTTCACAGCCTGAGATTTACACAAGCACACCAAGCTTTTATGGCGTGTACCAAGTATGTGCATGTACGTCACTTGCAGATTTACACGCGTACCAACCTCTTTTTATTTTATTATTATTAATCTTCATATCACAGGAGCGCTACTGCTAGGCGAGATCCGCATCATCGACAATATTATTCTGAGGTGAGTAATGTCCAGACCCCTGCGATGCACTTTTGGACCGGTCCTATAGCCCGTGGATTGCATCCATGCGGCTATCATTGGTTATCTTGCCTACTTGCCCATGGGTTTACCAGTATGGCTGGGCATCGGAGTAAATGCCATAGATTGAAACACCGCGACACCGAGCGTTATTGGCGCACTGCTGTATTAGAAAATACATGGAGAGAGAGCCACAACTGTGAAAATTAAAAACATTAAAACATTAGTTCAAACAAACTTACCCACAAACTTACCCACATACGTGCGTGCGTAGTGGGCAAACGTTGAACTCTTACACACACACTGTGTGTGTCTTTGCGTTGCGATTCCCGGCAAGCAATAATAGCGTAGACCCCCAAAATAATAATTCGCACTCGTTTGGTGTAGGTAGCACACAGAATAGGTTACGTATATCACTCAGTCAGTTGCGTGCACACGGTTGGTTATCATGACTCGCTAGAGAGACACAGTTAACCATACAACATGGCCCTGTGAATTGCCTATACTGTCATTAGGAACATTAATTGTTCAGTCGGTTTGCATATACTGTCATTAGAAGCGTTAATTGCCTTGTCGGTTGAATATACTGTCATTAGAAACGTTAATTGATCAGTCGGTTTGCATATACTGTCATTAGAAACGTTAATTGCCTTGTCGGTTGCATATACTGTCATTAGAAATGTTAATTGCTGAGTCGTGACACCTACATGGCCTTTTGATTCAAGTACAATGGAGCCTAAGACCATCGTTTCAAGCATATCATTTTAATAGTTGCACTGAGTCTGAAAGTGCGGATGTGTGAGTGAGTGAGTGTGTGTGGGGCGGTGGGGTTGCACCTGCACGTTTCTGTTGCATTATAGGAAGTACTCTCATCTTATTGTGCTCCCGTATCTCCCTCCCGTATCTCCCCCTAGTGCTTGGCTGGTGATAGTCCTGGCGTACCTCCGTTTATGTATTGTTTCCGTTGATTTGGCGCTACCAAAGCTGCCCTCATCACACATCGCGCGTGAGCGGGCGGGTAATGCCGTTTACTTTTACATTGTGCGTATGAGTGCGGCTCTGTTGTGTGTGTATTTGTGATTATATATTGTGCGTATGAGTGCGGGTCTGTTGTGTGTGTACGTGTGATTATGTGCGACACTAGTGCATACTATCGGTACTTCTGTATCACCTGACTGCCCTGGAAGCCCTTTCTGATTGGATCTGGGTGCAGCCCTGGCCTAGACTCAGGGCCCAATGAGACGTAATGAATGCAGCGACCAATAGTTGTACCCCAATAATACACACATCTGAGCGCTCACTGACAAGTCAATGCGTATGTGCGCGTGTCTCCCTTGGCCCGTGGTACTTGCCTCCTGTCGCACAGTCCTGACACGCACTCCACGGCTTGGCTTGGTAACGTCACTTCTCACTCTTTTTACTAAAGGTAGCGTACGTCAACAACGCAGATCTAGCCATACCTCGAGTGCACGGGATATGTATTGAGAGAGGGAGCCACCAACCAGCCTGTAGCTACACACGCCAATGTAGTCTAATGCCGTGTAGCGTGGGTGGCCTCTCAGGTCACGCACGCCTGTTCACACACAGGCACACACCCACACCCACACCATCCCACACAGCCAATCAGACTTTCAGATCGCCTGTCATCTGGACCTCACCGCAGTCCCTGTACCGTCGATGGGGTGCAAGGGCTTGTGTGCACCTACTCAACCAACCCTTAAAGCCTTAGCAACCAAAACCCTGGAACAACCCTAAACCCTGGCCACAACGGCGACGGAGTGATGATGGTGATGATGGTGGTGGTGGTGGTGGTGGTGCAGTGATGTTCGGTCTAATTGTGCGACAACGCCGGTGTAGTGTGTATCTACAAGCACGGACATTCACATCATGTATCTGGATGGACCCAAGAGTTGCGTACATATACTGTGGTGCGTTCGGCCTGTAAAGCGTGTGGTGGTAGAAGTGTTCTGTCTAGCCCCCCCTTGCCTCTCGTAGCGCTATAGTATAACCATACTACTCTATGGCAGTAGCATCACCCCAGACATCCGCGTGCAAGGAGACTGGGCCAGCCCACAGCCACAGCAAGAGCTTTGGACGATGCCATATGGTTACTGCATAGGCATACGCTGAGCGAGCTTACCCCATGTTCAATAGATGGTTGATGTTGTCGCTCATCTTTCCACTCACGAAGTCGTGCTGCAGATAGCAGGGGTGCAGTTGAATAAACGTTGGGAAAAATGCGGGGATGATACGTACACACAGGACGGTTCGTGTGGGTTAGAAACAAGTCTATGCATACAGGCAGTTTGGGATACGGTATATGCAACGCCAGGGCCTAAAGCACACAAAGAAGTCGTATCATTGACAAGGCCAGTCTAGACACAGTCGCCAGCTAAGCGTGTAGGTAGCTGCCTTATCCTTAACAGAACCAGTCTAAAAATAGCCACCAGACATACGCTTAGAGCTTCGGAGGCGGTCAACCGTTCGGCCGGATCCATCGTTAGCAGTCCTTGTAAGAAGGAATAGAACACGGCTTCTTCAGTTGGACTCTCCCCTCGCATCATGGACTGCATCAGGCGATACAAATGAGCGTATGAATACATAGAATGTACGTCTAGGGGTGAGAATATGCGTTAAACTTCGGACCTCTCATCATGGACTGCATTAGGCCATATAAATGAACGTATGGATACATAGAATGTACGTCTATGAATTAAAATATACGTTGAACTTCGGACCTCTCTTTATGGATTGTATAGAACGATATAAATGAGTT